AGCAAAAAAAAAAAAAAACAGCATTTATTTAAAACATACATATTTTGTAATATTATAAATGTCACTTTTGATCAACTTAATGCATCCATGCTGAATTAATTAAAGACTTCTCTGATACCAAAAGCTTACCATCTCATCTTTCTGATGATGTGAGAAGGAGGAGCGCGTGTCTGTTTCATGCTGATCATTCACATATATATATATATATATATATATATATATATATATATATATATAAATATATTCAACATTTTTATACACAATTCACATTCTAAATATGGTATTGGCAATTTGAAAAATGTCAAATAAATAAAAAAATTAAGATTTATGCTAAATTTTGCAGTACTAAAATGTATAATTTAAAAAAAACTAAGAAATAAATCACCAATAAATATAAATTCTAGTCTTATATGTAAATCTTAAATATAATATTAAAGCCTTATAGACTACTGAATTTAATGACTATTTATGTACTTTACACAAATTGAATATATTTAAATATTTATAAATGGTATAGACATATATAATTACATTTATTTTATATTCTTTTTCATTTAATTATTTTTAATTATTATTTTAATAATATAACTAATTAATGTAACATTATGTGTTTATACAAATTTACTGGGGGTGTTTTTCAATGAAAGGATTTAATTTGCATTTAAAATGTGCATAATTGAATTAATAATAAACATATATTTCCATGATGAAATCAGTACCATTTTAGTATCAATAAACTATTAGAGTTTTGTGAATATATTTTGAATGAATTATTATTTTTATCTTTTTGTTTTCATTAGAATTTAGTTCGTTGTGGTTATTTTGTTGTGTATTTTTGTCATAGTTAATGTACAGTTTTTAATTTTTATTTCAGTTTTAGTTATTTTAGTACATCAATATAAACTAAATGAAAATGAGAAATACTGCCTTGGCAATTAGCGGACATAAACTATTTTTAGTTTTCAAATATTTGTTATTTTAGTGATTTTTTATTTTATTTCAAATGACAAAAGTTTTGCATGGTTTTAGTTTTAGCTACCTATACTAACCCTGGTTGAAACAAGCGTTAACTGTTCTTGGGACAGGGTTGCTCTGCTCTGCTCACCCACCTGGTGTCTGGTTTTCATGCGGGTCCTGTAGATGAGGAAGGGTTTGAGAAGAAGCAACACAGGAACCATGAGCATAGCCGTCACAACCAAGAAGATTTGAACTGCTTTCTGTAGAGCATTACAGCGTCAGTCATAATCGGTAAAGCTGAGTACTTCAGCGATGAAATGCCAACTGCTTTTCGAGGAGCATGAATCCAAACCTGTCCTGCGTAAAGAAGCTTATACTCAGACTGGTAATCAAACAGCATCATGTTGATGAAGAGAGCCGTTTCAGAGCGCAGAGTGATGCACCATTTATAGAGGATGAGGAAGATCAGGTATCCGAAGAGAGACAGCAGGAAGATCAGCTGTGGAACAAACTGTCCTGGAATTTTCCGAAATGTCTGTTTAAAAGAAATGAGAAAAACAAAAAGTCACAGATTTCTGAACAGTGATGACCATAAGGGTTAAGAACTGATATGAATCATTATTTAGCTGGACTTTGTGAAGAGATGGTACTTTTAAAACAATCAGCTACCTTTTAATCATAATAATACCACTATCTACAGTAATTCAATTGAAAAACTTCAGTTGCTGCTTTAAATTTGTAATCAAAATTGCTCATTTCAACTCCTTTTTTAAAATCTTGTCGAATCTCGTATAAATTGCTATTCAAATTGGTTCAATTATTTTGATGAGTTAAAGGAAAACATGTTGCCATGACTTATTGATCATATAATTTTTTAGTGTAGATTTATATACATGTAACATATCTTTCTATTTTTCTATTTTAGACAAAATAGACAAAAGCTACATTATTACATCATAACATTTCAGTGTAATACTTAGATTTCCTTAAAGAGAATTAATATTTTGCATTAGCATTTGACAATCTTATTGATTTCAATTGGTTTGAAAATTAAATTTTGCCTTAATTTATATGAGATACCCACCCAAAATTGACCAAACTCAGGGTGAGTCCAAAGAGCATATGACTGCCATCTTCATCTCAAAGGAGTTTAGAAAGAACAGCTTATTTGATGCAATATTCCAAACCTAAAACAAAAACGTACATTAAAATCAATTCAAGTTTTAATAGGTTTACATTGTTCTGCTAAATCAATGCTTCGTTCTTCCAGATCTTTGTTGTTTAAATCCACACATTTATGAATTTTGGAATAATTAAGATAAGCAGCAAATCAGCATAATAGAATTATTAAAATCATGTAACATTGAAGACTGGAGTAATGTTGGATGCGATTAATCACGATTAATCATTTGACAGCACTAATTAAAATATATAAAAAATTATTATAATTATATTTACATTTACTTATTTATATTTATTACTTCACTTGCTATTAAAGATACTTTTTCATTCCCTTGCACATGCTGTGAAATTTCGGAACAAATCTGATTGTTAATGCACAGCATCAGAACATCTCAATCCCGCCACCTAGTGAATAAAACACAATAAGACAACCAAACTTCTATTCAAACTCTTAAATCATTGTAAAGTGGTGTCATGTGTGGTGTGTATTGACAATCTGATAGCAAGCTAGTGCCTATAGATTGCTTTAAATATTCAAGAGCACATATGAAGAGATCTATGGATTCTGGATTGTGGTATAAGTAATCATGATGTTATAGTATGCAGAATGGGAACATTGCTGTGCATAACAAAGAGTGAAAAATTTAAGGGGGTCTGAATACTTTCCGTACCCACTGTATGTTGCAAAAGTGTTCTACGTTGACAATTCATGTTTTGTGTGTGAAAGAAGGTAAAAAAAAAACGTAAAAACACACATTAGGTATATGATGCTCTCACCACCGCTTGGAGTTCCTCAGTGGTCTGTATCTCCGCATGCCGAAGAACAACATTTCCATGAAAAAGGCACCAAATAACCTTTTCAAAAGCAGGAAACCTTTCTTGTTTGATCACACCTGCAATAAAGCTTCAAATGTGTACAAATACAGTATGTCATAAGTTGTACTGTACAATTAGAGCAGATTGTAAAATCCTTTTTGGTTTTAATTGGAACCTTTGTGTATCAGTGGGACAAAATGTACCTTAGATGTAGAGCTCCAGAGCTGTTTCTGCGGCTGGTTATATGTGATGAGACGGTCACAGACACTGAGTCTTCAGAGGGAGGCTCAGAGCAGGTTAGCAAAAAGCCAACTTAAGTAGTTTAGACTGTACATGGAAACCATCCACTTTCATTGCATGGAAATGAGTATGGACAATTCCTTTCTGTTTCGTCAAAAAAAATGAAATATCATACAGGTTTGGAACAACATTACGGCAAGCAAATCGTGGCAAAATGTTTATTTTTGAGGGAACTTCACTTCAAGCTTTTGAGAATAATGATTAAAATAAAAATTGTTCCGTTTACCTGAAGAACAGATAGAAGTAAACTATGTTTACTAAACATGCAAATGTTTGAATATTAAGTACAAATCAAGGCCTTAAGTTTGGTTTAAAAAAATGGATCTGAAGCATCAAAAAATAAATATGTTAAAATATGTTTTGTTATTGTTAACTTAAGCTAAAACTAAAACTTTTTAGTCTTTATTAGACTTTTTTGAAAATCATTTTTGGTAATTGAAATAAATCAGAAATTAAAATAAAATATAGATATAAATATCAGACAAAAAAAACTTACATTTAAATGAAAATTAGAAATGTTGCCTTGGTAAATAACTACAGTACAAAAATACAAGTAGAACAATTACTGGAACTAAAACAGAAATAACAATCAAATTAAATCTATATACAGTAGAAATATTAAAAAGACTAATAAAAACGACAAAAAGCACATAACAAAATTACTTAAACTAAAATTAAAATGAAATCTAAATATATAAAATGCTATTATTCAAAATAATACGGCATACTAATAGTATATAATTAAAAATAAAATAAATTAAAATTCATCTCAAGATCTTGACTTCTTTAAAGAAACCTCCGGTCATCCTCAGCAGAGAGTCAATGTCCATCAGCTCAATGAGGTTCTGTCTGAGTGTGGCATGGTTACGGCTGATTTCTCGCAGCTCCTGCTCCAACTTCTAAAGGTTTGAAGGCAAGCATTAAGGCACAATAACTTTCCGAATATCTGTTTGCGTGTCAAATTGTGTTAATACAGAGTAAGAGAAAATGGGTTTATTTGGTCAATGCTACAACTGAGAACAGCTTAAAAATATATTAGGCCTATCTATTTCATCTATTTGATTTTTGATAATTATTTATACGGAAACTGTAAGTCTCATCAGTTAAAAAAAAAGATATAGCAACAAACCACAGATTAGGTCCAAGGTCTCTGCCAAGTTTGGTGCTTGTAGCATTAAAGCAATAGGACAGTTGGGACAGTTGAAAATCCTTGGTCTCAGAAGAATAATAAGAAGTTTAAATAGTATAACAGTATGTTGACTTTCTCCGGCCAACATAACTAGCTAATAACTTCAGTTACGTTAGTGTGGTGGATCAATGAATGTGGGAGAAGGGGAGAGATAACAGATACTGTGTATGTGTGTGTCTGTGTACAGCAGTTAAACTGAATACAATGTTTATATCTCCTTGTTTCAGATGATGAGAGAGATGAGAACTCCTGGCCAGCCTTGTGGACTGAAGGTCAGGCTAGGGAATTTAAAAACAAGCACTCTTAAATGTGCATTGAAAATTGCCAGCTGATCAAACCTGTGCTCCAGGGACCATATTCAGGATAATGTATCTCTTAACTGGCTGAGTTAGATGATTAACACTAAACAGTAGAAAATCAGTCCAGTCTCCCCAGCTGTAAATGTCATTGGCTGTTAAAGTCTTGTGTTGCATATAATAAACTGACATGTTGATATCACATAAGCAGTCTTTCACATGTAGATGCATACTGTACACATTAGTGAGTGTGATGGTGCTTACGGGGTGTCGCTCTGGGACGGCTGAGGGAGGGAAAAATCACAATATGTTCACTACAAAAAAACTAGACTACACCACTGGGCCTTTAATAACAAAATGAGAAGTGTTGTTGTCACCTCAAGCTCCAGAACATCTCTGGCACAGGGAACCATCTCCTTCTCCTTTGTTGCAACAATTACAATGTTAGATTTCACCATCTCCTTCTGAAGATACCCTAAATGATGTAGAATTTAAATAGAAACCAACATTACGGTCTTTGAAGGAAGATAATTATATCAAAGGTGTTTTAAAGCAATTGTGTGTAGTTCCGTGCATTTTTGCAACTTTGAAGCCCCCTACAGTTAAGTGAGTGGAATTTTTTTCTGTCGTAAAATTAATGCTATCGCTGTCATTTTTTATTTTTTTTTGCAATCCATTATTTCGTACCCATTCACCAAACTTATATTTTCCCGGAACAGACGTTTGGGAAAGAAATCAGTATGATGATTCAGTAAAACGGACGAGAAATAGATCTTCGCAATATTAAAACGGCATGTTCATTCATGAGGTCAGAATCAAAACTTAGTGCATCTTACAGTAAAATACAAACTTTCTTACTCAGAATTCTCTCCATTTCTTCACATTTCTTCACTTCCTTCACAAATCGCCTTTGAAATGCTGTTACACCAGGATTCAGCTGTAAGATCATTTAAAAAAGTTTAATACATAAAGGAATTCTAACATATCAAGGCAGAATTGGGATAGTTTTGGTTTATTTTAGACATTTGAAGCCCTATTCGCCCCTTAAATGACTACCTTATTAATTCACATACATACAGTAATCATGTAGACGCTTTTTTCTGGCTCTGCAGTGTTATGCACTGATTGATTCAACCAATGGTGAGAAATCAAATTCTGTGATAATGAACGCTCAGTATGAACCGAATAGTGATGCAGAGAGTTTGCACTATATGCACTTGAAAGTGTGCACGCTGCTACAAGCAGACTACATTTAAGAATCAATGGATGTTGTAAGGTTACTTGACATTCTGACAAATGTCAAAAGAAACCAAAAGAAACCAAAACAGAGGCCTTTTAAACAGCTGAATGCAGTGACTTCCACACACACACACACACACATACACACACACACACACAAGCAGTACAAAGGTTACTCACATCTTTAAACTGAACTAATCCAAGATGCCCGAGTTCATTGATGCAACTGTGAGCCGATTCAGTTTGAAAAAACAGCTGCACGAGACACATCTCCTCACTACGAAATAAAGAACTCATTCTGGATAGTTTGGAGGAACAGAAACAGCAGCAGCAGTGATTGTCTGGTTTTTGTAAGTCAGTCTATTAAATGTCTGTCTGTGAGATCAATAGTGTTCTCGTGTGGCCTCGGGATCAATATTGACACCACTAGTGCAGCTGGGCCATCCAGACCAAATTATGATGAACAACCCTGCAGCACAGCACACGTTTCATTTAGTTTGATCATTTCAAGTAAGCAAATAACCTTAACCTTAACCTTACATAAACTATCATGGCATATGGAGACCATTTACTTAATATAAATATCTCTGATACATTGGTTTCATTGTAAGCATTTATTGGGAAACATTCCTTTGCATTTTGCTTGCTGCTGTAGTTTTGTCATATGCTTGGCTTGAAATAAAGACAATATCCAGGCCGCTTGTTGTATCAACTCGCGTGCTCCAGATATCATAACCTTCTCTCTCATCTACTTTCCTCAGTACAGTAAAATGACGAGTTTAAACAGAGAGACTTGACTTAATCTGGTAGCTGTATGCAGCACAACAGTAAGTAAGCCATCCATAGTCTGGTGAAGAAACCTCTTCTCTCCTCGTTATTTGTATGTTTCTCTAAATTGAGGGAAAAGAACAAGAAAACAACTATTAGAAACATCTCTGTCCTTAAAATTAAAAGACGTTTGTTTTTGTTTTTCTTATATCTTCGTATTTGTTTTTAATTATTTGTTTTAATTGTATTTTTAAAATTATATTAGTTCTGTCAAACGATTAATCGCAATTAATCGCATCCAAAATAAAAGCTTTTGTTTACATAATATTTGTGTGTTATTTTGGATGCGATTAATCGTGATTAATCATTTGACAGCACTAAATTATATATAAATTATTTTATTAGAATCTTTTTTTTTTTTTACTTTGCATTGTTAATTTCATGTCTTAATCTGTTGATTACTTTGTGATTATTTTTTAAAGACTTTTTATGTAAAGCACTTTAAATTACCATTGTGCATGAAATGTGCTATATAAACTTGCCTTGTTTTCCTAAACACAAATAACTTCCATTATGCTGTTATGTTCATATTTGTAATGATATAAAATCCCCAAAGACTAAAATGTAAAAATTAAACAAAAATATTAAAATTAGAATGAACTCTGCTTCTATATCACATTTAGAGTTACATTCTCACATGATGCGCTGTTCTAATTAAAAAATAAATAAATAAATAATTAAAATTGAATGAAAGGTAACTACATTTGAATTAAATTGAATTTCTGTCGTACCTGTTGTGCTGTTCTCCACAGGAGAAGCATCTGTGGCACCCTGAGCACTCAGGATAACTGATGGCACACTGACAGGCACTTCACCCGGCAAAGTGTACATATACTCTGGGATGCTGGAAATGCCGTCTTGGCCCCACATATCCTGTTTCGTAATATTAAAAGTATGCAGGCTGGGTCTCCTATTGGCCCACATGCTGCAGTTACCTTCTCTCTCATCTACATTGTCCTCAGAGAGGGATGAAGATGTTCTGGACACATTGTCAGGTGTAGAGCTGAGAGAGGCAGACTCAAAACCTGAGGAATGATGAAGGATGAGGGCTGATGCCTCTGGATCGACCGGCTCAGACACAGGCACAATAGACTCCACTTTGTTCCGTCTGCAGAGAAAGGGACGCTTCATAGCCTTCCGTACTCTTTTGAAGAATAAATACATTCGTTTCTTCATCTTCCTATATGTATGTTTCTCTGAAGTGTGGTAAAACAAATGGGTAACACAATTATTATGAAACAAATCTGTCCTCAAATTAAAAGAAAATCACTTGTTATCCTTCTTCTGTCATATTATAAATGCAAATTAATGTAAATATCGCTCTTTAGCAAAAACACATTTTCCTCAAAATGTATATATAATATATAAATAATATTCATTTGTGTGTTCATTTGAATATTATATTTTATATATTTGAAATAAGTTACAATTATTTAAATATAAATATAAATAAATAATATGAATATATTTATATAACAACTATTAGAATATTCTTTTAATAAAATCATTGTGATTATATATATATATATATATATATATATATAATATATTTAAAATATAGGCCTTTGTAAAATATAACATAGCCTATATTCAAATATAACAATATAAACAAAATAAGATGTATTTTACATAAAATATATATTTTTATTATTTTAATTATTTATCGTTATTAATATATAATACATATATATGTTTGATATAAGATAAATTGTATAAGTAAATACAATTTTATGTGTGTTTAAAATGTA